TTTTACTAAATTGATATCTGAATCTCTCAATTTTCAAAATATCTCTCTAAACCTAAATGACATAATATTTATTGATACTCCTGTGTCAAACTATTTCAAGCCCTTGAATTTCTAACAAAGATGATAATTGAAATTAAGAATGGGAAGACCCTTTTGGACAACAATATATTTGAGAAATAAACACGCTTTTGATATGATAAAATTCCAAACTCTTTTTTTTAGTGCTTTCAAAGTTTTTAGGCTGTGAAAGTTTTGACAAGAAAGAAAACGTTCAGTTTGAAAGTAATACAAATTAAGGGAGGAATAAAAATTTATCACTCAAATTATTACACAGTCCAAAATTTCTGCATAAATTTAATGTCCGTGAGTTAGTTATTTTTTATTTTCTAGATCCTTATTCAATTTTTAAAGGTTTAGGAAGGGATGTATTAGTTATTATTACCACTCACGCCTTTCTGAGAATAAAACTTCTTATGCTGGAGAAATACAGGGCAAGCATCGATATGGCTTTAACCTTTGATAGTAGGCTATAACTATGTAGTTTGGCCTATTTGCACTCTAAATTGGCTGCACTTCACTAATGTTTGAGCGATGAATGATAGTAAATTGCTCTGATTGAGTATTTTTATGCTTTGCAGGAGCAATTTCGGGCTACAATGAGATTAATGAGTGTTTTGAGATAATATGGAGCGTTGAAGGCCAAGTAAAGGCTTATGGAGTAAATTGGGAGTTAGTTCGGGGATCGAAGGAGGTCAGCGCATTTAAAAAGAAGAACAAAGAAGAGTGCAAAAAATCGCCCAGGTGCGCGGCCACGCACTGACCGCGCAAATCGGGCTGAAACTGGCCAAAGTGCGCGGCCAGATGCGCTGTCACCTGCCCCGGTGTGCGGCCGCGCACGTCCTTCCGAGAAAAATTAGTCCAGGGCTAAAATTATAATTTTAGAGGCGACTGTCCTTGACCTATATGAAGCCCAACTCGCCCAAAAAGAGGGTATCTTGGTTTTTAGGAGATTTTGGAAGGCAAGAACAGGCAAGGAGCAAGACGGAAGATTCGAAAATGAGTTTTTATCTTTCTTTCTCCCTTTTTTTTTATCATTGATGATGAATTCTTATGTTGTGATTGTTAAAACAATTATGAGTAGCTAAACTCTTTATTCTAGGGTTTGATGAAACCTCTTGGAGGATGAATCTTTGTTGCGTTTAATATAAATTTGCCATTGAATTTTCCCTACGTGTTCAACTACGTGATTATTGTGGTTGATTGAAGGGCCCTCAATCGGCTATACCTATTTAGTGTGTATTACTTGGAAAAAGGGTACATA